AGGAGCAGGAGCAGGAGCAGGAGCAGGAGCAGGAGCAGGAGCAGGAGCAGGAGCAGGAAAAGCTGGACGAGGTAGAGGAAGAGGGGAAGGTCGAGGGAGAGGTGCGGGCAGAGCAAGAGGTAGAGGAGCTTCGAGCGCTAGGAATCGAGCATCTGGTACGGCCGATCGGGCTGCATCTGTGCTAGGCGGGCAAGATCAAGATGCGAATGATGCTATTGGTGCTGCTGCTGCTGCTGCGGTATCAAATAGAGGTGAATCTGGTCGGTATGGTACAGCTGGGCTGAGAAGGGAAGGTGCGGGACAGGTGGATGAAGCAGTCAGTGCTGCTGTTGGGGGCGCTGGAGTGGGAAGAGGCAGAAGACCCTACACTCATCGTGGCGTATTCACCAAAGACCGTGAGTGTTGGCCAAGCTTCAAGTTTCAAGCATTACGTGCACCCTCTCTCACCAGTCAGTCCATGACATCTTTCCAATCCCGCCTCGCTCTCGCTCTCTGCACTTGTCGCAGTGTCTCGATTGATGTATGCGTTTGGGGACAATGCCTTTCCCGATCCGTCCAGCGTGTCGGTCATGGAAGAGCTGCTTGTAGATTTCATTACGGATCTATGTCACCGTGCTCGACCTTCACCATTCTCCGTCGCTCGAGGTGCCATGCCGGTCGTCTTTCCCAGCATCATCTCTGATCCATCAGATTTGGGCGGTGCAGGTGCGGGCGCAGGGGCAGGAGCAGCTCACTCCACCTCCAATCCCAGCAATCTCGACGCTTCTTCGGGCGCATCTCAATCTCAACCTCTCCTACCATCGAATTCCCATGCGCTCAACCTCTTTGCTCATCTAACGCAAGGTGCACCCATCACCTCTGCCCGCGCAGGTCCGCTCGCATCCCCTCATCCTTACGCCGCGCGAGCTCGTCTAAAGGTGGAAGACGTCAAGATGGCTCTTCGCAAGGAACCCAAAAAATTGGCTAGGGTGGAGGAATTGATCTTTTTGGACAAGGTCATCAGCGATGCTAGAAAGATGCTCAATGTCGATCCGGCCGCCCCCGCTTCCGCTTCCGCTTCCACTTCGACCACGGCGCCGACGACGGCAGCGCCTGGTGAAGCAGCCACTGCGGGCGCGCACACCGAAGCCGCAACAGCAGCAGACCCGGAACAGTCAAGTGGGACCTGAGCGATGGACGATGGACGCTGTAGTTGGTGTGTCGGGCACAACATTCCTCATTAAAGGTTCGAATGGCGAACAATCCTTTCCCAATGTACACTATATTGCAACACGAATGAGCTGTGAAAAATTAGAGTGATAGATGCGCGCGTGTGTTTGACGAAGGGAGCAAGTCCTTCGACTTTAGAGACGACGTGCAGGTTGCGCTCCGTCGCTCGTCTCGCTATTCGCATCCGCATCTTCCCCCTCCTCCCCCTCATCATGCGCGGCAAAGGGTAGATACTCATTCTCCCTAGCCCTAGCCAACCTCCTAGCAATCTCTGCCTCCGACTCTCCATCCGAGTATCCCTCTCCGCCCCATACGCTAAGCGCGACGGGCAGCAATATCAGTCCGTGCGTGGCGCCCAGAACGATGAGGGCGGCCCACATCTTGGCATAGTACAGCTTGAGCAGGTCCGACTTGGTCAGAGCCAGCACGCTGATGCCTACAAGCTTCGTGCCCGTGATGCCGCGGATCACCTGACGCGCAGGGGAGTAAGGGGAAGAGTGGGGTGGGGGGGAAATCGACATTCGATGAGCAGGCGGCGCGAGCGTCGCGTGGACCGTTTTGAGACAAACTCACCGAGCTTCCGACGTCGACTAGAGCGGTCCATGCTCTCTCATCTCTCTCCTTCTGAGCCATCGGATGTGCTCTGGGCAAGTTACCAGGCGCTCTGGAAAAGGCTCTAGCTACATGACTGCAAAATTCTACGCATATAGCAGAGCAAACGGACAGGTTGACGAGGGTGAGGGCGTTGAGCTGAATGCCTAAAAAGCCCATGGTTCCAGCAACGCCTATGAGAGCAGACGTCACGCAAAGCACCACGATCCATCCTGTCCTCCACGATCCCAGCAGCAGCGTCGTGATGCCAAAGATGGAAAGCGCAGCTCCACCCAAGACTTGCAGCGCTATACTGCCCAAGTGAAGGTACTGATCGAAAAAGACGTAAAAAAGGCTGTACGCAAAAACTTCCACTCCACCTTGCTCGTTGCGCAAGTTGATGTCCTGCGAGATTCGCTCCGACGCGCGCAACGCATCGATAAAGTCTGCTTGGCTTCGCAGGGGCGTGTGATACGTGCGAAAATGCGAAGCTGTGACTGATCCAGGAGTCCCTTCCGCAGGCGGGTCAAGGCTCAGAGCCGAGGAATAAGCCGCCCTGCCGCCGAGCGGACAGTCTTCATCAGTCGGGCTGACAAGCCACTGCCTAAGGTATCGCATAAACTCTTCGCTCTCGGGCATACCGTCCAGCGTAATGTTCCAAGCCGGTCTCCTATCCTTGAAGCAGGGTTCGCACAGTCCATCGCTGTCGCGAGGCGAGCAAAAGACGTTCGGATCCTTGATGCGACGTCTACAGCAGCTTTCCAGCACGGGATTTGTCCACTGCATAAAGTCATCGATCCAAGAGCTGGCGGGCTCGGCCAAAAAGCTGCTTTCCGGTCTTCCGCGCTCGCCCTCCAGCGTATTGGCCAGCGACAAGGGAGCGCATGTGGTGAACCTTCCGCAAAGCGCCTGCTGTCCCGTGCGCGCGCGAGGGTCCACCTTCCGGGCAACAAAGTAGACGGGCGGACCGACGTTGAGGTAGGTGTCTACCGCATTGAAATAATCGCGCAGGTAGGAGTCGGCAGGAAGCGCCAGTCTCTGGTCCAGTCCCATCTCGAGCCTGCGCATGCCGAGGATCCCAACGACAGCCAAGCCCGCAAAGAGCGCCAGCACGATCCGTTTGGATGTTGGACGTACCAATTTGGGAGCATAATAACGTCTTATGAACCTGCCTAATAGGCCTTCACTCGAGAAGCCGCCCAGGCCAGCCGATCCCACCGCATCCAGAGAAGCGTACTGTGCGCTAGAGGTGGGCACGGGTATCTTGAGACAGGGCAAGCAGTCGATCCTTCCACTTTCTGTTCGGTCCGCATCCAGCGCCATGGCTGCCACAAAGACCGTGCACTGCAAGACAGCAGCAATGGCCATGCTGCCAGCTGCATACAGGGCGAAGTTCCTCACGGCCGGCATTGGAACTATTGCCCCCAAGAGGAAAGCGCTCACTTGTGTCGCCGCGCTGAGGAGAATGCTCGGCCCCATGCGAGAGAGCGCACGGGCTGCTCGTTCGGCAGAGGAAAGGTGATACGCTCGTCTGTGCGGTAGACCCCGCGGACCCCCGTACAAGCCCGCGCCTTCATCATCAAAGCTGTCATCATCTTCATCCTCATCCTCTTCCAAGTGGATTCCTCCAGCCGAGGCTGAGCCGAAGCTCCCATCCGAGACACGCCCAATGCTTGCGGTAGAGTAGGGATTTGCCGTGCTAGCAAGCGCGTTCTGACGATCCATCTCGCTGGTGAGGAGAAAGATGTTGTCCACTCCTACAGCCAGCAGCAAGAACGGCAAGACCTCTCCAATAATCAGCGTCACCTTGACACCAGCTGCCGAGAAGATGGCAACAGCAGAGGAAACGGAGGCGAGGACGACGACAATTCCAAACAGTCCAAGCATGAACTTGCTTTCGACCAAGATTCGCCTTGCAAATTTGCCGCCCAGACGATGTCTTTGACGAGGAGCGCCTCTTCGGGGAAGGAAAAAGAGCAGTCGACTTGCCAGCCCGCTCCGATGGGAATGGCCGCTCGGCGCAGCAGCCGCATCTTGTGCTCTTGCCGCCCTGATTTCCGTTGCCAGACCAGCAGAGGTGTTTCCTCCGAGCATGAGTGCCGCATACAAAAACATCAAGAGGTAGGACAGAACGACGATGGGCACGTCTGTGTTGCTCGAGCTTCCCAGCTCTTGCTCAAGGCTGCTCCCTGTGCTCAGCGCAAGCTCGATGCCAAGTGCTCGTCGACGTGCACCGAGAGGTTGTTCGGGTACATTTCCGATGCCTGCGATGGAGAAGAGGAGTTGTTCCAGAGCCACTTCCCACTCCTCGGCGCGTGCCTTGACGGTCGAGTCGAGAGAATTAAGGACGACCCAAGTGGTGACGACGGATCGAGCATCACTTGCTCTGCCTTCTCTATCGTGGATTTCGCCTCCTCCCGCACCCCCGCCCTGTACCGGTTCCTGGACAACGCTCGGTATACCGCCCAAGATTATGTTGGGCTTGAGGGGCTGTTGGAAAGTGGGCAAGCACTGCGCCGGACTTTCAGCGCAATCGTCCAGCCTGTCAGCCCAATTTGTCTCGTCCACCCCCGCACCATCCAGATCGTCCTGAAAGTAGCCGAGGATGCTTTGAGTCACACAAGGTCCGCCATAACCCGATGGTGCGAAGCAGACATCTTGAAGCGTCGTCCCGTTGCTCGTGCGCAGATCGCGCACAGCAGCTTCGAAATCGGCCCACCACACCAGCCGATCCCAGCTGAGCGCGGGCTGAATCTCAGCCAGCTGACGCTCTTCAGCCGATCCGCCGGCTTTGGCTCTGCCGTCTTTGGCATGCTGCAAGCCCGTCTTGTCCATCATGAATACTTGTTGAGTTCGGTAGAATGGTCCAAAATGCTCGTCAAAGTACTCTTTGCGAGCTCTGCTTTCGGAGTGCGGGGCGACCCAAAGCTTGACGGGATCCGTCTCTACCTCAAATTTGCGCCAACCCAGGTTGCTCAGTCCGACAAAGATGGCAGCGACGGTGAATGTAAGCCAGGGCGATCGAGCGCAGAAGAGGCCTACCTTGTAGAAGGCTCGAGTGAGGAGGACATTGAGTGCGTAGGAGCGTGGTTGGGTAGCGTCAAGCGCATCGATGCCTGCTGAGGCTGCACCCGCACCCATGGAGGACGAGGCGCTGCTGTCATCTTCGCTGCCAAGGTGTCCGAGACCTGTGGCGCCGATCAATCCAGCAGAACGCAGATGCTGGTCCGCAGCTCTGCTTCCGGATGAGTTGTCGACGCCATGACTTCTCCTTGCGCCTTCGATGTCGTCCTCCGCATCGAGCCGTACTCTCTCGTAGCCGCTGCCGTCACTAGCGATGCTCAGCCCGCTGTTCCTATGTCGAATGGCTATTCTCTTTCTTCTCCTCCTCGAAGTGCCGTATCCGACAAAGAAGGCGACAATCGCTAGAATGTATAGGGCGATGAGGATGAGGGAAAAGCATTCTAGCGCGCCTTGACCCACTGTGCATCGATCTTGACCTCGACTGGGAGGTAGGACTGGAGGTAGAACAGCGCATACATCTGGACAGTCTGTGCATGCGCATCGAGACATGAGCGATTCGTCCGAGCAGGCGCGGGGTGGAGGGTTGAAGGGGATGGGCGGTAGCGTCGAGACATTCCTTCGAGCTTCATCGCGTTCGAGGGTGTGCCATGGCAGGAGCTGCGCTTGCTCCTTGTGCTGTTGCCTAGGAAAGTCGATCTGAAATGGACTGCCAACCAGCGGTCGCTCATCTCCCAAGAATTTTAAAAATGCTTCCGCATCCTTTGCTCCACCGCCGATGAGGTCCATAGCGAAGCCGTTGCTGGCTCCAAATTTGACATTCTTGCAGCTGTCGTAGAAGCCCTGTCTGTACTCGTCGCCCACATGGTATTGTACCCTCTTGACAGCTTCATCCCCATCCTTTCCTCCATCCGTCCTCTGCCTCTCTAGCACATCCACAAATCGCGATTGATCGGCAGAGCAAGTGAAGGAGCAGAAGAGAGCGCGGAAGTTGTTCCGGCAAGCTGGACACGAAAGCAGTAGCGGCTCCGCTTGATCCAAATTGGCTTTGAGCGCTTCCACCTGAGGCGCAGTGCAGCACACGCTACCCTCCGCAAAGTCCTGTCCGCACACATCCACCAGCTCAGCTCGCAGCTTCTGGTCGGGCTGTTTGTTGCGAAGCGCAAGGCAGGTTGAACGGGGTCAGACGCTGATGCACTGCATCTACCAGAAGCACACCATCTGCCTTGTCGCCCCCCGCTAAGCACCTCGACAGCCCCTTCACCCCACCACTCACCTCCTCCGCATGTACCTCCTCGACTGCACAAGGCAATTCCGGCGAAAAGTATCCCTTCTTACCGCACTCTCCTCTCATGTTGCACCTCCCGCCTCTTCTGACATCCTCATGCTTTGCAAGGCTCTCCGACATCTTTTAGGCTCTCTGATGTTGCAAAAGGGGTCGAGGTGGAGGTGGAGTTGGTTGCAGGGCAAGGGAGATGGACTGTGGACCAGGCTCACACCACCGACGACAGGAGGGGAGATGAGTGATCTGAGAGCGAGCGAGCGAGCGAGCGAGCGAGACGCACAGCTCTTTCTCAAACGGGCAGCTTCTCTGACAGCTTCCCGCGAGATGGGCAAGTAGGGGATTCAGTGATTGTGATGTGGCAAGGACCGCAATGAAGCTTTCTCAGTCGTGAGCGGTGATGGCCATTCTGGGCGCATCTCGCTCAAACGTGAGCGCATCTCTCAAGCAGTAGCATGCAGCAGCAGCAGCAGCAGCTGCGCGTGTCGTGCATGCGAGCCTCCTGACTGCTGCTGGGGCGGAAATACTATGACTTCATGAACCTCAAATCAGCGCAGCCACATCTCCGGCCCAACACAGCAGTGTGAGTAAGTTCAGACAAAGCTCAGAGAGCGCTTCGTCATCACGAATGCCAGCAGATACCTACGCGTTGCTCACATGAACGACGATCATCTGCGAGCGGCAATCCCACAAAGGAACACGATCCAGTGCGAGGTCACTCTATCATCTTCATCATCATCCTCATCCTCGCCGTGCATGAGCAGAGGTGTGGTGCGTACGTACACTGAATGCTTAGGCTCGGTAGGACATCGCATCGCCCTTTGCCTACGACGAGCCGGGACACGGGCCCTGTTTGAGAGGGGACCAAGGAATGCTTGTTTCAGACGGCTGAGAAGCGGAAAGGATCTGTGGTAGTCAACGCTCCGAGGTGTCAGCGACGGCATCGAGCCACAATGGAGAATTTCTAAGCCACACTGACTGTCATGATCGCGGCCCGAGGTCGTCGTTTCATCGCGAAGCTGAGGGCGACGTGCGTGAGGTAGCGGCATGGGCCTGACGGCCGAAGCTTGCTTCGTCATCTTGGTGTGCTATTTGGACAAGGATGAAGGCGATCAGCAGCACATCACATGCGCGCCGCTGCGACCTGTTTCCACATGCTCAAGAGCATCCGACGCACACGTTGCGGAGTCGACGTGCTAGACGTGTTGCCTTGAAAACGGGAATGGTGGAGCGCGCCTGCTGAATTTGGGGTCGGGTTGCGAGCTCCTGCGACCGACGGGAGCGTTTCACCGTGCATCGCTGCTGACAGCTGGATGCTGCGTCGAGATACGGCCTGGGCAGCGTCTTGGCGCTCGTTCGATCGACGAGGCCCATCTGCCTGTAGGCCTCTTGCTTCCACCGAAGCTGCCGCTACTTGCGATTGCCAAAAGGGTACTGCCTGTCTGGGCGACATGCGCTTTGGGCTCTCCTGCTATGGTTTGAAAGGGTGCGCAAAGCTTTCAATTCCCAGTCAAAAAGCGCACCCACTTGCACGCGAGATTCACCCCAACTTGCCCAGCGTAGAACGGAGTATGGCTGTGCGACTGATTGCTGCTGGTGCCTGTCGTAGTGGCTGAAGCAGTATTCGCCGCAGCGGCGGCGGCAGCAGCTTCCTGAAGCTTCGCAGCTTGGCTGTGACCGGGCCGCAGCCCTTGACGAAGTTGTGCATCGTGCTGGCTCTAGGGACGCGACCAATTTGAGTCCTTTGCTTGCGACTACCAGCAGTCCGCTCGCTACCTACTTTAAGACGTGCAAAGTCTTTAGCCGAGGTGCGCAGCGAGTCGCTGAGCTCCCGTGTCTTGCGTTTTTCCGTACTGAGGTCTGGATGGGGGCAATCGATTTCGTCGGTGACGACGGAGATGGTGCAGCTTCCCTGCATCTCATCTCGACTCACCAGCGTCCATGCCTGGAAGAAGCAGCAAAGACATGTCTCTACGCTCAGAAAGTCCGACACTGACTCTAGACTTGCGCCATTCTGTGCTTACGAGAGAGTCGATCGGAAAGCAAGGCTACTTCGGCATTTGCTACGACGATGCGGTGCTGATCAATCAGTCCTCCAGTCTTAAACGAGCTTGACAGAGCCCGCCCTCGGTCGCACCCTCGGAGATGACGCTGCCGAAGTGATGCCCATAGCTGTCAGTAAGCTATGCAGACCAAGGGCGCATCGCCACTCACGTTTGTATGCGCTTCTCTAGCACCCCGTTGCGCTGTGGAGGCTGAGAGGCGTCAAGTTACCACAGCCGACTTTGAAAATGCTTTCACTCGTACCTCTTGGACATTCTTGAGGAGTAAGGCTTGGAAGGCTCCCTGGAAGACCAGCACATTAGCTTAATGAAGACCTCCTTGGGTCGGATTGCTTGGTCGACTGACCTCCTGCGATGTCTGGTACTGTCGGAAGCCAAGAGGTGAGCAGAGCGTGCGAGCAGGCTGAGTAGGGCTTGCGCCAGTCCAACGTGGAGAAGGGTGAACGTGAATCACCTGATAGAAGCTGATCAGAAAGATGTCACCGCTATCTCAGTTATGAAGACCGATTACAGGGCGCAAAAAGCGAGAAAATACAGGCGTACCTCATTGCTCGGGTACAGATGTCCCTTGAGTGAGGAAAGCGAGGGACAAGATCTTCAGCAATGCGCACGCACACGTTCTCCCGGCTGGCTATTCTATCTCCGCGGCTTACATGATGATCTGAGGGGAGAGGCCTGCCAGGACGCTCTGCCGAACGTCCGAATCCATGTCAGCGCCCTCGCGACATACTCCTGCGAGTCATCACAGCTTCACCGTTCTGTAGTCTGCACTAGGCTGCAAGCTCGATACAACCACATCGTCCGGTTCCGTAAGCTGCGTGTCGCAAGCTGGGCAGGCCCTTGCACTGGTGAAGAGATCGTTGGCACACTTGAGGCAGAAGATGTGACTGCATGTCGTCACCACCGCCTTGCCTTTGCACCCATGCAATGCGAGTGAATGCTTCGAAGTTAGAGCCACGAATAGCTGGACTGCGCACTACACTTGCATTTCCGAGAACAGCGGCGCATCACTTACCATCCACATCAAGACGCCTGCGACAGCGCAGAATGTTGCAATGAAAGCCTTCATCCATCATCGTCTTGTCTCGCTTGCGGACTGCCTTGGCCGAAGTAGTGCGCGCGGGCGGGCTACGGAGAACAGATGGTCAAGCTCATACCGGTTCGCACATGCAGTCGTCGATGTCGCTCCTGTGGCGAGCCTTCTTGTGGGTGTCGTGAGCGACGTCGAAGCCGGCAAGCGCAAGCAGCGCTTGTCGAGACGTCCAAGAGACAGCACTCGACGCCGGCCGCCGTAGAGTCCAGCGGTAGAGGGGTGATTGAGGTGGATGAGGCGATCGAGTGAATGGTGATTGTGACGGATGGTCAAAAGCTCACAAGGAGAAAGCGTAGCCCTGAGATCAGTCGCAGCGTGCGTGTTGTTGACGCTGTGCTGCGCGATGCGTTGACCATGCCATGCAGCGCCGCAAGGGGAGACGATGGAGCAGCGTCGCGTGGCAGCCAAGTACCCAGCGCGCGTGCGCTGTCCACTCAAAACTCAAAACTTGCCATTCTGATTCGAACCTCTTGACACACCTTCATGCGTACGCGTGCTTGATGCTGCCCTCGCGCCGAAATGTAGGAGTCATGTTCACGATTGCTGCGCCTCGAGCACCCGCATGAGCTCCGTTTGTTTTGCCGTTCGGATTGTGAATGTCTCTGCCCATCATTTGTTGCGCACACTGTGACTGCAGGTCTCCAAGAATCGAGTGCATGGCAGCAGGCGCCTGTAGGTGCTGCATGCATCCTTCTGATCGAGGAGCAGATCTGGCCTTCGAGTCGATGCTGAAGCGAGGCGCATGCAGTTGTGAGTGAAATCTGTTCTGCGCTTTGCGTCTCACCTGTTCGGTATACGGACAGGATAGCAATCAACGAGTGCTGAATTTGCCGTTTGGTGATGATGCGGCGGGCGACGGTCCGTGTGCATGCGTGCCACTGATCTCGCGCCTGCAGTATTCAGCCGTCGTGTGGGCCTCATCGCATGGGTTTCAGCTGAAACACATTCCGTCGCATCCCATGCTGATGCTGTACTGCGAGACTGAAGCTGAGCTAGCTGAGACGACATCGTCAGCAGACGAGCAATTTGCAGCACCCACCATGACAGCTAGGCTTTCTTCTTCCCATGTGCACGCTGCATGCTGCTGACCCAGCCTAAGCAAGACCGTGCAGCTCCTCGGTCGCACACGCTGCATGCTCCCCCATGTGAATAGCCGGTGACATGATTCATTCGAGACTGCATATGGGGCGTAGCCTCCATCCACGTACTACCAAGACATATGTCCGCGCTTAGAGTTCGATCTCGCTGCTGCAGTGCGCCACTCGAAGGATGATCGAAAGGCGAATCTTGTCCTCTGCATGAGCTGCCTTTCTCGCATCCCGTCAGTCTGATGAAGCGCACCCTCTGCAGCCTGCGTGCGTGTGAAGTCAGGGGTGGGATGGGTCGTGTATGGTGAGCTGAAAATGCTCCGCTTCGTTGCGCGCGCGGGGGATACGATCGAGCGCACCACAACACAATCGCCGCACAGAGGTCGCAAAGAAGCCTGTAAGACTTGTGCCTTGCTGCTACTCACCACAATTCTGACACTCCACGACAGTGCCGGGTCTGAGTTGAGATTTTGGAACTCTGCAAACGCATGTGGAGCCCGAGTAGTTCATGTCCTTCAATCGTGAATGACAGCCATGCAAGTTGTGCGCGATGTGAGTGAGTGAGTGGGTGAGGTAGCGCCAGAGCACCTCTGGGACACGGCTGCGAGCGAGATCTGCGCTTTGTGACTCACCATGGCTTGAATACACCTCACGCAGCACAGCTTCTCGTAGCCCGACCTCTTCCACTTTGCTATCAAGCTGCGTCACAGACAGTGAGTCGCGAATGGTGAGCATGCCACCCAAGTCAGCCTTGCAGCCTTCGAAAGAGCTCTGCTGCCTTCCATCTTTGCCATCTCCCTGTCCTGCGCTTCGAGCCTCTGCCGGTAGTGGTGCGCATCGCATCCCTGTGGACCCATCAAACTCAATACTCAGACTGTACAACTCACTTGGCATCCGCATATCCCTGCTTGATGAGCCAATCGTACAGCTCCTTGCTGATGGCTTCTCTCCCGTAGTACAAGTCGTAGATGTATCTGCTCCTCGTATGGCTTATCCGCATGATACCCCACAACACCTCATTTTTCCTCTTTCCCTCTCCCTCTTCATTCTCTGCATCCCGCATCGCTCTAGAGTAGTCTTCTAGAATATCCTCAATGTCCTCGAATCCCTCGGGAGGAGGCGCGGTTCGCGAAGTGCGAATCTTTGGCATGATTGATGGAGGACGCAGGCTGCAGCACTGATCCCCTAGCCTGCAGAGTAGCAGCACGTAAGTGAACGGAGTAGCCGTCTGCCCTACTGGGAGCCAGTGAAGCTCAAGGCGTCAGTCGATCGAGATCTGCTTTCGGCTGGAAGACTGTCGAAAGTGAGAAGATCTGTTTTGAGTGCCGTGATTGCCAATTTCTAGGTACACGTCTCAGATCAGCAGTCTTGAGTACTGAGTCAAGAAAGATTTGAATCTCGAATGTCAAACTGTTGGGTGCTTAGATCGAGGCTTGAAGTTTGACCTGTGACTTTAGAGGTGAAAGTCGAGAGTCACAAATCAGTCTCGAGCCTTGAATCCAAGAACCTTGAGTGATTAAGAATCAAGAAGCAAGAATTGAATTTGAATCCAAAATCAAACAAGCGCTCCGCCCACACCGGGTCACGTGATTTGACTGCCCTGCCAAGCCTTGTTATCGGCCGAGGCCAGCCTGCGTCACTCAAGACTGCATGGGGAAGGGGACCAATTCTTGATTCAAATTCAGATTCAAGATTCAAGATTATTCACGATATTCATTGATTCCTCTGATTTCCACGATTCAAATTTGTGAGTTTTTGATTCAATTCTTTGCCGACGTCAGGCCCTCCCCTCTCCCAACGGCATACATACAATTTCACTTTCCTTGATTCCCAAGCCACGCCGATAAGGTTCGCGCAGATCAATCAAGCCACACCAAAGCTATTGAGTGTGTAGGCTGCCGCCGATCATGATCGGGTGGAGGACGAAGAGCACCGCCGCGGCACCTGGTGTAGGCGTGAGTGCATCATTCCGCTTCTCACAGCCTCCCAGTATTCTTGAGTGCGCACGGAAGGAGAAGAGTCTGGCCATGCGTACTTGGCCTTTGGCATTTAAGCTTTCAGTTCAAGTACTCATGTGAGCTATCTTCAAGACTCGAGCTAGAACGCCAAGTCGGACATTCTGCAGCTCCAAGCTGCAGTGATGACCTGCAACGCCTTTTCGAAAGCTACCTTCTTCTACCTGGAGGCCTCGGCCTTGCGTGACGCGTGCACGCCACGCTAGGAGGGACCATTCCCTCCTTCCCGCGCGTGCATGATGGACACCTTATTCGACGTGCGCGTTTCGTACACGGCAGCGGTTGTCTGTCTGGTTAGGGTTATCAGCAGAAGGAGTTTGTCCCCAAATTTGGCAGAAGAACCGCATTCCCTGGACGTTGGAGCTCATCCGAAACCAAGTCAAACTACAGTCCGGCATCCCCCTCTTCTCTCCGATTTAAGCACTGTAGCCTGACGGCGTGTGCAGATTGCTCGCAATTGACAAAGAGGCAACTAGAGGGGCAACTGATTCCAAGGTACCTATATAAGTGGCTATTCAGAGGGCCTACTCGAGATTTCGTCCGCGGCTCGCATCTTTGATCCCTCCCCAAATTCCCAAGAACCAGCTCTCGCAATGTCAAACAGCTCGATCTATATCGACAGGGTACTGATTACGCCGGCACAAGACCGCACGTTCGGGCCGGACCAATGGCAAGTGACGGCGGCTGCAGCTGGGCTGTCCAAGTTGGCTTACGAGCTCGATCCTCGAACTGTGTTCGAGTCTAATGCGGTGGAGAGTCTTCGTCGCTTACGCGAGTGCGGCTTGATTGATGAGGTTTGGCTACTAGAACGTCACAATGATGCGAGCGGATCTCGAGCGCCCCAGAGAGCCGTTCTAGCCTGCGCTGCTCGCCCTCGTCCGATGGCATATCTCGCTTTCTGTGGAACGAGCGGCCCTAGCGATTGGCATAGTCGTGGTACAGCCCGACCGCGCCCGGAGGAGGCACTAGGACTGCTTCTTCATCGCGGCTATGCCGATAGAGCCAGCGAATGGGTCGACCTTGCTGCTTATCTGGTGCTGGTGCTCAGAAAACGGTTGGTTCTGTGTGGTCATAGTCTTGGGTGAGCATAAGCGAGTGTGTAGACGCATTTTCGTTGCTTACATGCTGATCTTTGGAGCCATACTGCCTGTCGACAATTTCGACCTCGCAGCGGCTCAGTCGCCACTGCTCTTGGTCTGAAGCTACTTGGCGAGACCGGATTCGCTCAATTTCGCGACGTGTGGTCTACAGGAGCACCCGAACAGGCCTTGCAGCGTGTGCAGGATACTGTAATGCACTTCTCGAAGCCATGGCCAAGCAAGCAGCCGCGAGTATCCGTCATCACCTTTGGAGCACCCACCGTGGTCCTGCAAGAGAAAAATACGCACGCGTCACCTGACGATGCGACACTCTTCCGCACGCACCATCATTTTATGGTCTCGATGGATCCCGTCCCATTTGCATACACGCATCTGCGTTCTTTACTTCGAACCACAAGCCTGAATCTCGCCTCGAACGAGACTCTCATGCGAGGGCTGGTGGAGCTCTTGGTGCTTCCTCTTCACACGATCCATCCGACTGTCAGCTTCGCGACGCGAGATGCATTGATGCTGCTCTTGAAGTGGACGATTGAATCCCTCGACAGTCACACGCCTAGCCTACACTCCGGTAATTTGCTCATCAGCGATGGAGACTCGTTTACGAAAGTCACGAATGACGACTTCCGCTTGCGCGCCGACCTTTCTGCGACAGGGCTCATACAGAACGCAGATGGCCCTCTCTCCGATGGGACCTTTCAACAGCACGCGATGGACCACTACGTTCGCAAAGTGATGGTAGCTGCTCGTCATCATTTTCCCGCCCGAATTCCTGCCAGGTCTTCACTTGACAGTGCGCTGCAGTTCAAGCAAACGCTGATATCTTCTGATATGCACTGCACCATGACGGGTGAGCAACAGGCGGATAACTTCACTTTTCGAATCACCGCGACGCCAACTTCGGTCGGCGCACTCGCTCTGGTTCGAGTAGAGAACGAGGGCGAATCCCCTCCCCTGCGGTACGATTTGAAGCGCATTGAAGGAACCTCCACTTCTGTATGTTGCTCTCGAGCACTCGGTTCAAGCTGTGGAGGAATGCTGACCGTCGTCCATCCATCTCAGGTGACCTACACCTTTACACATCGCGTGGCGCTCGAGAGCAGCGGCGAAGAATGGCCGAGGCTGTATGGGCAACTGAGCACACAGATGTGTGCCATCGACCTCTTCGGCGAAAGACACGTCATTCCACCTTTTGGAATCCGTACGCCACCTCTACGTGAAGTAATGAGTCCCAGCCCGGAGGACGTCTTTCGGACAGTTCTCATTCACTGCCAGCTCCATTGGCTGCAGCAAAGCTTCGAGGACAGGCCGATTGGCCTGCATTACCGTGAACAAGCCCAGTACATCGACCAGATCCTGGGCCGCGCCTCTCCTCACTTGTTCATCACTAACTTGCCACGGCTTTGGCCCTTGATCGTCCAGGCATGGAAGCTCACTCCGGCCACAGCTCAGAGCTACACACCGGCAAATCCGATATCAGCATTTGTGCCCAAGATGCACGATCAGCAAATGCAGAACCTGTTCAACGGTCTTATTTCGCGCATGCTCGATTCAAACGTCGAGCGTCAAATGACAGCGCTCATCCGGGTGCGCCGTCAAGATTCCACAGAGGAGCCACTTAGCTCGTACAGACGCTCACAAAAAGATCATGAGGCTAAGAAAATTTGGAAAAGCTGGCGTTCTTACCCCGATGGCGCCCTGCGCCACGTCGCCATGCCTTCTCTGGTCGCTAGCCTTGACGAGTATGGCTTGAAAGTGGCGAGGTACGGCGACCTGATGAGGAGGTGCAACGACCTGCGAGAGGATGAGATCGCTCTTGAGGACAGACTAGAAGATGGCGCAGGAGAATCAAATGGCTCCCTAGTGGCGAAAATCAACTCTGCCAGGGCGGAGCTCGATGCAACCGAAGCCGAACTCGCTCAAGCAGGCATAGATCTCACAACCGCCACTGCGACACTTCAGCAAACGTTTGTATTCCTACACAGTGTTTTCAACACACAGTTGCTGGCTCCGTCGCCTTGGCTGTTCAAGCGTTCCTTTACCGCCAGGGCTCATCAGAGATTATTGGACGCTCTTCTCCATGCCCGTCTCTCGCAATGGCCCGGTTCCAAGTTCCTGAGCGGAAACAGCACTCATGACGACTACAAGCCCATCTTCTACGAGCGTAGCCTTAGACTGTTGGTGCAAGCGTGCAACTTACAGCCGTCTGATTCAATTTTTGCGCTAGAAACGAGGCTTTCCCGTACAGAAATGAACTTCCACGCCCTAGACTTCGCCAGAGACTTCGCTCAACGCGCCTACTATCGCCCCAGCCAGTTCTGTCTCAACCACTGGATTCCTTTTGTCAGGCTTTCAGGAGATCTGCGCAGGAAGATTCTGCCTCAGCATACCATTATAGGAGCTGTAGGACCATCTCGGCAAGGCAAAAGCACGCTGTTGACGCAGCTATGGAGCTTCCCCGAGAGCGTCTTCGGCCCTGGTGCCGAAGACCGATACCGCACCTGCGTCTCTCGCACAGCAACGCCCCCTAGAACCACAGAGGTGACAGTGGTCGACTTGCCTGGACTAGATGAGCAGCTCGAAGCTGTGCGGCGAGAGACAGCTCAGACTTTCGGCATTCTGGATGTCTTCGTGGTAGTGCTAAGCTTCAGTAATGTACACACAATGGGAAGCGTTGAGCAAGCCTTGCGTTGGGTCGCCCAGCGCATTGTCGAGCGGCGGCTTCCACCGTTCCGCATTCTGCTCAACAAATTTGACGACACGGTGGAGTTTCGCGAAGATCCCCACTCAGCCAGATACAAGGACAAGCTCGACAAATATGTTCGCACGAAAATAGCAGACATCCGAGATCGCAAAGAACTGATAGTTAGCCGTTTGGCGGAGTACCTTCGGGACTTGGGTGTCAACGACCAAGAAGTCCGATCAGTCGTCATGCTTTCTGCCCAAGGTCAAGAAGAAGGCCGCAGGAACATGATCGTTCAACGCCGAGAGAAGTTAGCTGACCTAGTCAAGGCAACAACGTTGATTCCTATAGCAGAAAACTGGGATCCAAACGTTTTCACGCGGCCGACATTCGATGTCTTGTCAAGACTTTCCCCTGCATCGGCCTCAGACCCGCATGTTTGGACGCTAGGCCATGTCAAAGAATGGTTGCGAAGCGTGTGCTCCGACGCTTTTGGTCCTTGAAGACACTTCGGCCCTACCGCGCATGAAGCGCAGACCATTTGTCCGTCGTTCTGCTGTTTGCTTCCATGAAGTTCCTTCTTATAACGATACCTTTCTTTTCAATTCGACTACGGCATGCGGAGAGACACATTGCATGGTTGGCCGGAGCTAGGAGACATTTGGTGCGCAGAGAGATGGCCACCTACACAAGCACATACGTTGTCGCCAGATATGATTGCAATCGACTCTTGCTTGCCTGTATCTTCAGCGAGTCGGCAACCTAGGCTGTTCAGAAAGATTCGAGATACGACCGCTCCGATGAGAGCTTTAAGACTGACGCTGCAGCTAATGTAGTCGGAACGGTGACTTTCAGACTGACGCTGCAGCTAATGTAGTCGGAACGGTGAGCATTGACGTTTTCCAAAAAGACTAGCGATGAAGTTTGGAGGGATTGAGGAAATAAGGACACTCAAAGACTTTTGTTAGCTTCTGACTTACGCCCACGCTCCAATTTGCTCGATTTTGAGAGGCGGTCAAAGGGTCGAAACACCAGTCGGATGTTTGGATTGCGATTTGAAACAACCAGGTGCAGACGGCCTGGGCGCGGCAATTTGACGCGGCGGAATTAGCCGGCTCACTTCATCTTCAGATCAAGCACTACCTCTCCTTCTTCATTGGTAGGGGCGATCGAAGGAGGAAGGCTGCTCGAGAATCCTCGCAGGGTCAAACGCGATGTCACTTTGCAAATCGTGAGCGATTGCGCCGCATGCTAGTCGACCTAAAACGGTGCAGAGTCCCCTTGCGCCTGTTTGTGTCATCAGCGCAGAGCCCGACGTGCCATTCAGATGCATCACAGCACCTCAGCGGCTCATCGATCGCATCGATGTCCAACGCCTGGCGACCTTTTTCGAGACCATTTGGAAGGTTCGGAAAGTCAGGTGCTTGGCGGGTTCCGGCTCGACTCGCCAGCCGGACTGGCAATGTCATCCTTCCGCGCATGGTCGTGTTACCATTCGGCTCATGAGCTGCACTTGAATCGTAAGAAGTCCCTAGCTGAGGTTTGATCAGGTATCGCAGCCAAAGTCACAACCATCAGCAGCATCAGCTTCTCGGTATTTCACAGCGCTCATTACTAGTGTACAGATCGTATTGACAGTACGAAACAGGGATTGCATGGAGTAGTCACACGGGCATCAGCCAAGGGTGAGTGAAAGGCTCATCAAAGCCGAGATTAGGCGGCCACGGAAACCTGATCTCGAAAGTCGAAGCTGGTGACGGTGAGCATGACGTGCGTACCAAAAGCGTCGAGAGAGGTGGCGCAAGGCGGAGAGACGGAGCCATCGAGAAGCGACTTTCCAGTGGGCGCCGTTGGGCCATCAATCTTTGCAAATGATGCGCTCAATTCCCTTCCCCGGGCGCTGGCTTTAACTCCCTCCGCGTCCGAGATCCTCGAGAGCTCGTTGAAGTTTGGGTGAGGGATTGTTGGAACACATGCGGCATGCCACGTGCTCCTGTTGGGCGCGGACCACAAGGGCGAACGCGAAGGCAGGGGGACGTCCAGAATTCTCTTGCAAGTGAGCGGCGTAGTGCCGTTCGAAGTGGCGATGAGCACGTCTAGCAGCACAAATGCAAAGACGGTCCTCCTCTTGCTTTCTGCAACGAGCCACTCGGACCAATTGTGCGGGTCAGAAGGGGCATCGCAAATGCCGCTCTCGACGAGGCCGGCAGCTGCCTCAATGAGGTCTCGCTGCCTGGCGCAAGCGATGGATCGATGTTTCTGACCTCCCCAGAGCTGCGTCAGTATTTGAAAGACGAGCAAAGCTTGGGTCTTTGCCAGACGCTCGAGATCGAGCACGTCGTCAAATCCGGAGTCGAAAAGACGAGTGCGAGCTAGATCTAGCACATCGAATGCGAAGTCTGTCTCCGCCTTCGTCTTCGCCCCCAAGCAGAGCGTCGCAACTTTGCGAGCGCAGAACAAGGGTGGTGGCAAGTATGGAGCCTGATCTTCACTAGTGTCGCTTTTCGCCGTTCGCGTAGGCGCCGAGCAATCAGAGCTTGTTGCCATCGGCGAGAAGGACTGAGATCGGGAAGATTTGCCAGATAGCCGAGTAGATGCGGGAGACGAGGCGTGGCCGTCCACGTTAGAAGGGCGGGGCGTGTAAAGGCTCGGATGAATGAAAGGCGGCAGCGTGCAGACTAAAGAAGTGACAAAGTCGGCTGCAAGGCTTCGAACGAGGGAGAGTGTGATACCAGCAGTGGATAAGGTGCGTGGAATGGCAAGCGCGCGAGGAGTCTGGCATGTCTGTCGCGAAAGAGACGAGTTTAAGTCTGACAACGGCTCGGCGACGTACCGAGAGTGTCGAGGAGACAAACTCGTGGCCGGCGGCATGCTCATCGCGTGCGGACAGGGCGTAGAAGTTGATGGGACGCAGGAGGCGATGGAGGAGAATAGTTGATCCAGGCCGTGAACCACGTCGCCGTGAACCACGGCGCCGTGAACCACGTCGCCGTGCAGACTAAACGCTGACTGAGACTGTTGAAAGGGATGTGTAGGTGTGGGGACGGTCGAGACACCCGGAGCCGCTTGGAGGGCATCTTGCTGCCGCTCCTGGCGATTCTGGCCAGGCGGCATGGGATGTGAAATTGAAGGCAAGGAGCGCGGAGAGCGCGAGGATGGATGGAGCAAGGCGGCAGGTTGCGGCGCTGGAGACATTGGAATCGCGTCTGAGAATCGAATATGGTGCTCCGGAAAGGCAGACTGCATATTGCCATGAACCGGCGTAAGACGAGACAAGGCGACAGAAGGGGATGCAGAAGACTGTTGATTGTGCGCGGTGCTCAAATCTTGCTCCTCGTATTGCAGAGCCATCCAGACGGAATTGAAAGCATCGAAAGCGTCGTTCATCTGCGCATTAGGAGGTGAAGCCTGCGGTTGCGATTGCGCGTGCGGTCGCGTGGCAGGGTCTCTCAAGGCGCCGCCGGACACGAGGCTTGTGCTCACTTCGGAATCGCCTCCCGACGCAGACCCAGAGTGTGATCGTGCGTCTTCGCATGACGCATTGGCACAGCTGTTTGCGACAGGCAGACCCGTCGGTACCTGCCAGTCTGTTCCCACAAGACCTGACGTTCCTGCACAAAGTGGCAGCAAGCCCGCGGCAGGAAGAGAGGCATCCGTGATGGGGAGCTTGAGACACCCTACACTTGAAATGGCAACGTTTGGACCTGTGCTCGCATCTCGCTCATCCTCACCAAGAGGCAAGCCTTGCGCGCGAGCACTGGCGTTCTCTTGCTGCTCCCTCAGAGTACGCATGACCACGGCTAGAGGCCACTCGCACTGGTTTCCCCGCGCAGCGCATCGCCCACATGAGGGCCGCTGCTCATCGCAATGAACCCTGAGGCAAGCAGCACAAAAGGGATGAATTGGGCGTCGTGAGTTCAACAAAAGTCATTCCGCGCCGACTTCATTTGTCGGCGTCTTTTTGCAAGTGAAGACTCACTTGCTGACCGCACAACCATTGCAAGCCCTTCTACGACTCTCTGAAGGCGCAAGCGCACGACGGGCGCATCTACGCCTGTGCCTATCCCGAAGGTCTTGCCTCGCCCACGATTTGGGGCAGAAGGAGCAGTGGTACATTCGAAGCTCGCTCGATCCTGACGCCGCATCTGCTGTTGACGTCAATAATGTGCTTGAAGTCCCTTTATATGTCCTAGCCTTGTGGATGGAAGCGCCTGCCAAAAGTCCTATCGAAGCAGTGGATGCGGATGACGTTCCCGGTGATGATGCGATTCCTTGGCTTGCCGGCTTGCCTCGGACTTTGCTCTTGGATGGCTCTGCCAGTGCACCAGCAGAAAGGCGCGAGCGGGGCTTCCTGACTGCGGATCTGGATTTGGGCTGCATGGAGCTAATTGCAGGTATGCCTTCCAGCATCTCTGCGGGAGGTGGCACGTGTTGTGGATGCGGGTCACTGGCGAAATGATTCCGCTGAATCATGGTCACTCAGCCGATGAGGATGAGGTGACGCTGCTCTGCGGAAGCGCAGGCAAAGGCGAGAGGCGCGAGTGCTCAAGCTCACGATGGCACGTTGGATGGAGAATGAAGTGAGTCTTGAGTGTGGAGCTTGAGGAGTGGATGATGGTGGGGGCAGCGTGACCGCCGCGGCACGGAACGCCCATGGCAGAGAGTCTGGCCCAATGTCTCGGCTGCAGGCAAGTGATGCGCGGCGAATTCTCACACAGACGGTGGTGCATGTGCTCGAATGCCCCGGCCGCGCACCGTGTGCAGGTGGTTTAGCGCAGTCACAGTTCACGAGTACACCATGGGCGACAGTAGTAGTAGCGTGTGGGACAGTAGGGTGGCGTGTGGTGCAGGCAGCATGGTCGGGCAACTAAATCTTGAATCTTCTAGGTGCAGCGAGGCATAAGAGCAGTGTGTCCGTCCATGCTACACCAAGCGTTGTGTGTGTGTGATCCCCCGCCAAATAAACACAGTCAAGAAGTGGATGCGAGCCCGGTCATTGGGCGGCGCTAGCTGATTGTCATCGACACTTGACATGCTGATCCGATGCACACAAGTCATGCATGCGAATCGTGAATCACAAATGACCAACTTGATTGCCCCGCCCGCGAGTCGGCGGTCGCGCAGTCGATCGCTTGCTGTGTCAATTAGTTGCGTGTCAAGAGTCACGATCGTGCGCGCAGTTCGGCGCATGGTATCGCGCGAGAGTCCAAAGTCAAGGATGCGCGGACATCCGCGCGTGGCCCGTACCACGCGGAGCCTTGCACGCGCGCGTTGCGTTGTCGCAGTGAGTGTGCAGCAGAAATAGGGCCGATCGAATAATTGAGGAGAGCCATGATGTGGTGGTACATGTATTTACTCGAGGTGCAGATCGGCGACGTGGAATTAGTGTAGGTGGTTATCACAGTTCGTTGTGGAGTAGCGTGGGCTTGGCCCATCTCGAAGCAGCGCCCGATCAGACCTGGGTTCGACTCCCGGATTCCACACGCGATATATTTTACGATGCCATCACACGCGATGCACTTTACAGCCTCGTTTTTTTTGCCCCTTGGTTTACGCTCTTTGCACAAGCTTTCCGAAGGACAGGCCACTTGTGTCTCGCTCTTTCACGCAAGAGCGCACACAATGCGTGCATTTGAGTGCATTTGAGTGCAAGTCGACGCAAATCCGCTTTAAGATCATGCCAAATACCGGCTTAAACCTTGCCAAGTCTTCTATGAAGTGTCTGCGCAATGGCAGTAGGAATGCGAGACAGTAGGCTGCAGAAGAGTCACAGGATGCAGAGCATGTGTAGGGGATGTGGAGCATGCAAGGCAGTGGGCAAGAGTCTAGAACAGTCAAGCAACAAGGATTGGTGGCAGGAAGGTGTTTGCAGGATACTCAGGGACAGTATATGAAGGAGTTTGAGACCAGCACAGAGGAGTTAAAGAGTCAGTCAGTAAGAGGGTCTTGTGGAATGGATTGGGCAGGGAAGAGTCAGTAAATGAGAGAAATTTGAGGACTTGAGAGTCAGTAAATAAGAGAGG